TAATATTTTCATTGAAGTTAATAACGTGTATATTGTTTTGAAAGAAAGAGATACTAGGCAACAAATTTGTTTTATTGCTATATATCTTTAGAAAGCATGATTAGATTATTTTAGTTCCTAATGTCATGTTAGAATGCTTTTATTGCTTTCTAGTATCATGCTTAGGTTGCTTCCTATTTTCTTTTATCATGTTAGTATCATGTTAGGGCTAAAGTTTTAATCTTTATTGCTTAGTGACATGCTAGGATTTGTTATTAATCATGTTAGTATCATGCCTAGGATCTTGCTAATAATATTATTATAATGCTTTGAGATTGTTATGATGATGATGATTTGTTGTATCAATACTGTTATGTTGCTTGATATTATTATTGTTATTGTTTGATCACGCCCTCTCTTGCAGGATTGAAGGGAATTTGTACTTGAAATCACGCTTAATAAGATAATTAATAATTTTATTTAGGCTAATATGATTTTAATCCAAGTGATCGTCAATGATAGATTTATTTGTGCATTAATATTCGACCAACATAGATTAATCAAGTTTAAGATTAATATATTCATTGTATGTTATTAAGAAAGTGCACATGAATATGAGAAGAATAAAGTAGAGGCCTATTTAGGGCAGATTCAATCTCTTTTAGGTTTGATTTGTACCTTCATCCCCGAATATCTAGTCATGGTTCCGGACCACTATGGAGTTAGCGATCTCATGGATCGTGAAGGGGTGTAACCTTCACCCTCTGAACGATTTACAAATTCATAAAACTTGTTGGCGACTCTTTTGCCTTAGCTTCATTCCCTTGGGACGCCACCATGCTTAAGTGTATGATCACAGTGGGGCTCAAGTGTGGGATGTTTGAAATAATTTCCTTACAGTTGCTTAAGCTTCATTCCCTTTGGACGCCACCATGCTTAAGTTTATGATCACAGTGGGACTCAAGTGTGGGATGTTTGAAATAATTGAAGGAGTTTTGTCTTCGATAAGCGCAATTACTAGATATATCAAGGATCACTATTATGGAGATAATAAGTTCGTTCTCTTGGGGCGTCATCATCTGTTTCTAGACTATGAGAGATGATCTTTGGAATAGTCAAATAGTCCAAAGCCCGCTAGAATGGATCCTATGAGGTCGCACACAAGGGTATTGAGTTAAGCAAGTTAGAGGCCCATTAATGGGCCTCATGAGCAATTAACTAATCATGAAATGGATTGGGCTAGCATAGTTAGATTAGAATTAGGTTTTGGGATTTTGACATGGGCTCTTATTTAGAGATGAGATCTATAAATAAGATCCATGCCTAGGGTTGATAATAAGCAGTTATAATTCACACACAGTGTATTTTGACATCAAGGCAACCAATCCCAAAACCCTAATTCCTCTCTCTATCTCACAGCTATCTCTCTCCTCCCCTCGTCCGTACAGCCGACCATCCTTGGTGGCGCATGTGGTGGTTCGTTTCTCGTTCTTCTCCATAGAAGGTAAATTGAAGGGTTCAATTGCAGCTAACTAGGATTAGTGGAGGTCTTAAATCTGTGCCCGTGGACCAAGTAGAGAATCACACTTGGGGTTCTTTATCTCCCAATGTTCTTGCTCGATCGCACGTGGAATCACGCTTCAAAGGTACGATTATATGTTCTTTATGTGTTATGCATTAGATCTTAGGATTAGGTACTGTATGAATATGATTCATGTTTTTCCGCTGCGTAGTACCTATAATCTCCTACAGTGGTATCAGTTAGCCTATTGCATTTACGCATATTGACTATAATTCTTTGATAATCCACAATTTTAATTCAATTCGGAGGGAGATTAACGTAATTATGGTTCAATTGTTATATTTAATGTGATTAAACTTTAGGAATTTATTAAATGTGATTTAAAAATGCTCAAAATAGCCATGAAGAGATCCGAATCTTGCCCCTAATCACTCGAAAATTTTGAAACCCCCACCCTAATTTTTCTAAAATTTCAAAACCCTAACCCTAAATTATGGTGTTTTGGTTTTGATTTAATTCCTTTAATATGTAACTAATGATTTTAATCCATTTGATTTCATGATAAATTATGAATTTTTCATGATCAAATCATTTAATTTAAAAGTTAAATTAAATTGGGGATTAATTTCATGAAGAACCCTAATTTCAAGATTAAATGTGATTTAATTTTGAAATTAATTGGACCATATTAACATTAATTTAATTTTACAAAATATGTTTTGTTTTATTTAAATTTTAAAAAAGGGGTTTTTGCAACGGCAACCGCGGCTGGGTGGCGTAGCCGCGGCGGCTGCCGCTGTAGGTGGTCTAGAGGGAGGGGCGGGGCAGGGCAGCAGGTCGGGTCAGGGGTGCAGCAACAACAACACCGTGCAACAGTTGCATGGCATTACTTCTGCTGCTGTGCACCGCTGCAGAGCAGCGAACACCTCACGGTGTACGGCCACCGTGGTCGGTCTCGGCTGGCCACACCACGGTGGCTGGTGCATGGTTTTCAAAAAAAAAAAAATTATTTTAAAAATATTTCAAGATAAATATGATTTATTTTGGATGAGATAAAATATTTTTAAAATATGATCTTTTATTTTGAAAGATAAAATCGGTTTTATTTGGATAAAATCTTTTATTTTAGGATAAAATCAAACTTTCAAAAGTTGTTATGTTTGATATTATCCATATTTTAAGTTGTTATTTTGATAATTATCCATAATTAAAGTGGTTAATTTTGGAGAAGATTTGTTAGGATATTCTGAGCATATTCCAAAACGATAATAATTGATTTAAATAATGTGATTATCCCATAATTAATTTTGGATATAATTGATTTAAAATTTTGTGATTGGCTAGTAATTAGGATAGAATTTCCTAACATTGTTAGGATAATCTTTGAGGATAAATATGATTTATCTTTTAAGATTAAAATAAGATTTGATTCTATCTCATGACTAATTTAGAATATATGATATTTTATTGTTGGTCATGATTAATATATGATATTATCTAATTGCACTAATTAAAAATATGAGATATTTTGGTGCCATGTTTCCTTAATTGTGAACATTGGATTTTGTAGTTTAGGGAAGCATGATTAGTGATTTATTATGTGACAATTTTATAATATATGATGTTATTTATTGCTATATAATGACTAGTATGGCCCAGTAGATTACTAAATACGATCTGCGCATCGTGATGTATTTTTGTAATCTTAGTACGGTCTACGTACCGACAAAGTATTTTTTGTAATTTTATTTCATTTTATTTAAGTAGTAGATAGAATAAAGTAAAATTACAGGTTGCAGTTAATCCATGAAATCCATGGAGTGAAGGCCCAAAGGAGCAAGATGGATGAGATCCATGAAGGTTCAAGTGGGGGCATTTACTTTATTAGTTTTCTTAGGATTAGGGGCCATGCTATGTCTTGTTTATGCATTCAGTTTATTATGCATGTTAGATTTTATTGACGTTTTGTGATGATGCGGTAGAGTTCACTATTTAATCACAACATAATAAATCCAGGTCCCAGTAATATTGAGGTTGCTTTTCCAATTGTTGGACTTAATGATTTTGATGATGACACAACCTCACTTACTAACAAACTAATAAGTGCTTGATTGTTTAAGTGTGTACTCAGTTACAAAGACCAGGAGAATTAAGTGTCTTGTAAAAATACCATGAGGAACAAGAAGGCCAGAAGCAGAGCTATCCATATAGAAAAGTTCCGTCACAGGAACTGGCGCTTCTGAAATGAAGACTGGAGAAGAACAGGTTTCCTTAAGGAACAAAAGCTTTAGAAAAGAAGCCTCATCAGAGAAGAGAAGTTCCTCCCAAGGAACAGAAGCATTGGAGTAGAAGCTTCATCTGAGAACATGAAGACTAAATATATTTATATATTTTATGATTTATGTAAGTATAAGATATTAAGTTGCATTCGAAATACTGTGTGGAATTGGTCTAAAAAGATAATTTTGTGCTAGCTAATTTTTAGGGAAGTTGTTATTTTCTAAACGATTATCTTTTTAAACAAAAAAGAGGATTTTATTTTTATTTCTGATTTTTCAAAATATCTTCTGAAAATAAAATCTCCATGTTTCCCAAAACTTGCGGCCTACTCTCCCATGTTCTTCTTCAGTCATGGTTTTGAATATTGAGGAGTTCATGGTCCCTTAATTCAAGGGACATGATCTTCTTAGTGGGTATGAGTAGTGGCGTGATGGATTTGTTGCACAAAGAGGTTTTTCCAATATGTTTATTGCTCTATAAATAGTCTTTGAAATCTGATGGAAAAACTCACCCATACTCACATAAGTTTTCAAGCTTCAAATCGAGTCAAGTGTCAATTCCACACAAGTTCATTAGAGTGTTCTTAATGTTCTTATACTAGAGTTTGTTTATTTTTCGAGTTGTAATTTGGGGAATGGGGAAGTTTGAGTGAACGTTTGTGTATGAGAAAGAGAAGTGAGAAAGAGAAGAAAAAGGGAAGAGAAAGAGAAGAGAGAACAAAGAAGTGAGAAGAGAGAAAGAGAAGAGAAGGGTAACAAGTTGAGTGACTTGTTCCTCAGGGTTTCAAGTTCGTAGGGGAACTTGAGTTTGAGTCTTTAGTTTGTAATAGGATCATTTGCCCTATTATAGTGAAGATTCTTTTCCCAAAATCCCAAGTGGTCGTGATTTTTCTCCTTGTTAGGGCCAAGGAGTTTTCCACGTAAAAATCTCTCTTGCATTCTTTAGTTCCTTTAGTTAACCTTTCAGTTCCTTTAGCTAACTTAATTTTAATTCCGCAAAAAGTTTGGCTAATCTCTCATACTACAATTCGACCCCCTGTTCTTGTAGTATTCTTTTAAACAACAATTGGTATCAGAGCCTAACTTCTAGGAAAATCAGGAAACCCTGAAGAAGAAAGGTCTTGGAGAAAATGAATACTCATGAAAAGCTCGAGGAAGGATACTCAACTCAGAGGCCTCCTATGTTCAACGACAAGTTCTATACTTAGTGGAAGAACCGCATGGAGATCTTTATCAAGGCAGAGAACTACCAAGTCTTGAGGGTCATCGAGGTTGGTGATTTCGAAGTGACCAAAACAAATGCTTGGAATGAGATTCCTACAGATGAGCAGGTTAGGAAGGTTCTTAGAAGTCTTCCACAAGATCAGAGATGGAGAGCTAAGGTGACAGCCCTTCAGGAAACCAAGGACTTTACAAAGTTCAATATTGAACAACTAGCAGGTTCTCTCATGACTCATGAGTTACACCTTGGAGTCAACAGTGAACCCATGAGGAACAAGGGATTGACACTGAAGGCCGATGAGGAGGAGGACTCAGATGAGGCTGCCCTAATTGTGCGAAGATTCAAAAAGATGTTCAAGAAAGGCCGAACCTCAAGGAACTTCGGGAAAAAGACCTCAAATTCAAAGCCTGACTACAGCTGCCACAAGTGTGGATCCCCAGATCACTTTATCAGAGACTGTCCCGTTTGGGAAAATGATAAAGGGAAAGGAAAGGCTAAGGAACAAGGAAGAGAAAAATTCAGCAAAGCAAACTTTCAAAAGTCAGACATGAGGAAGGCCATGATAGCAGCCTGGGGAGACTCACAAAGTGAAGAAGAAGATGATGACCAACCAGAAGAGGAGATAGCCAATCTTTGTTTGATGGCCAAATCAGATGATGAAAAGGCTTACCTTGAGGAACTCCAAAAAGAGGTATTTCTTGATCCTAAACAGCTTAAAACTCTCTCTAAAGATGTCTTAATAGATATATGTCTAGAAGAAGAAGAATTCTGTAGAGATACTTGTGTAAAGTTGAACAAATGTGAAAAAGCTCTTAAGGTTTGCAAAGAACATGGTGCTTGGTTGGAAACAACCTATGCCAAGTCTCAAAGCAAATTAAGAGAGCTTGATTTTAAATACAAACACATAACTGAGATAGCTGATAGAACTAAGAATGAAAGTATTCTTCTGAATGTTGAATTAACTCAGTATAAGCTCATAAATTCTTATATTAGTTCTAGCAGTTCCTCATGCGATCAGTTGCTTAAATTCAATGTTGACTTTGAAAATTTTAAAAATGAGCTTTCTACCTTAAAAACTCAAAAAGATCAACTTGATTCGGAACTGAATGCTAGAAAGGATAGAAGTATTGACCCAAAAGTCATACCTAAGTGGATAGCTGAAGCTCAAGGAAAAAGAACTGAAGGCCTTGGTTATATGACTAAGAGGAAAGGTAAGCAAAATAAATATGTTGAGCTTCCTGGCATGAAGGTATGTACTTTTTGTGGTAAGACTGGAAATCTCTATGGACAGTGTAGGATAAGAGAAGAAGCTGATAAAAGAAATGTAAAACAAGTGTGGGTCAAGAAAACTGATATTGCATCCACGTCTAGGGAACCCAAGGAAACCTGGGTTCCTGATCCTAATGCTTAGTTTTCTTGCAGGTCCTAGTGAGGGGGAACAAATTGTGGTATCTCGACAGCGGTTGTTCAAAGCATATGACAGGTGATAAATCAAAATTCCTCTCACTAAAAGACTACCCTGGAGGAACAGTAACCTTTGGGGATAATAAGAAGGGCGAGATAATTGGAAAAGGCAAAATTGGAAAATCTAAATCTCATTCCATTGATAATGTGTTCCTGGTTGAGGGATTAATGCACAATTTGCTCAGTATATCACAATTATGTGACAAAGGAAATTCCGTATGTTTTAATTCTGATTCTTGCAAAATCATCAACAACAAGTCAGGAAAGGTTGTTTTAAAAGGAACAAGAAGAGGGAACACTTATACAGTTGACATTAACTTAATCCCAAGGAACAACCTTATATGTCTGAGTGTTGTTGAAGATGATCCCTTGCTATGGCATAAACGTTTTGGACATGCTAGCTTTTCATTACTGGACAAACTGAGGTCAAGGAACTTGGTTGTGGGACTTCTTATTATCAAGTTCCTACAGAACAAAGTTTGTGATGCATGTGTGAAAGGCAATCATGTTCTTTCATCTTTTAAATTGAAGAAAATGGTAAGCACTACAAAGCCTTTGGAATTAATCCATATGGATTTGTGTGGTCCCATGAGAATTCAAAGCAGGAGTGGCAAGAAATATGTTTTAGTTATTTTTGATGATTATTCTAGATTCACTTGGGTTATTTTTCTTGCTAGTAAAGATGAAACTTTTAACGAGTTTGTTGCCTTTGCCAAGAAAATACAGAAAATCAGTGGTCACTCTATAGTCCATCTCAGATCAGATCACGGAATTGAATTTGAGAACTTAAGATTCGATGAGTTTTGCAGGGAAAATGGCATGAATCATAACTTCTCAGCTCCATGGACTCCCCAACAGAATGGAGTTGTAGAAAGGAAGAATCGAACCCTTGAGGAAATGGCTAGAACGATGCTGATTGCAAGTGGATTGCCAAGGAACTTCTGGGCTGAAGCCGTGAATACAGCATGTTACATCCTTAACCGGGTAACAATCAGAAGTATCATCAACAAGACTCCCTATGAACTATTCAGGGGAAGGAAGCCAAACATATCTCATCTTAGAGCCTTTGGTTGTAAGTGCTTTGTACATAATAATGTTAAGAAAAACCTAGGGAAATTTGATGAAAGAAGTGAAGAGGCTATATTTCTAGGATATGCCTCTGATAGCAAAGCTTATAGAGTTTACAATAAAAGCCCAATGTGTGTTGAGGAATGCATTCATATAATATTTGATGAAGTTAACCAATTTGTGAGTGTACAGGAACAAGAAGAAGATAATGATTTTGAAATTGGATTGATAAGAGACAGGGATGAAGAAGAGACTAAAAAGCAAACCAAGGAAAAGCAGCCTGCTCTAGAAGAGGATCATCAAGAAAATGGAGAGGTTCCTCAACCAGATGAACAGGTGAATGAGGAACAAGCAGAAGAAGCAGAAGGAACAGAACCAGAAGCTCCTCAAATTGGAGTTCCAGCAAGGGAATTTCAACCCAGGCCATTCAAGTATCAAGGTTCCCATCCAACTGATCTCATTATCAGTGATATAGGAAAAGGAACTCAAACAAGATCACAAATGAGGAACTACTGTGCATTCCATGCTTTTCTATCCATCCTAGAGCCAAGAAATCATCAAGAAGCCTTGGGAGATGCTGATTGGATAGTGACCATGCAAGAGGAACTCAATGAGTTCGAAAGGAACAAAGTCTGACACCTTGAGCCAAAGCCTAAAGGAAAGAAAGTTATTGGGCTCAAATGGGTGATTAGGAACAAGCTTGATGAACATGGCACCATAGTAAGGAACAAGGCTAGACTGGTTATGAAAGGCTACAACCAACAGGAAGGTATTGATTTCGATGAAACCTTTGCTCCTGTAGCTAGATTAGAAGCTATTAGAATCCTAGTAGCTTTTGCTTATTTTATGGGTTTCAAACTCTATCAAATGGATGTGAAATGTGCTTTTCTTAATGGTTTCTTAAATGAGGAGGTGTTTGTTGAACAATCTCCAGGTTTTGAAAATCCTAAATTTCCAAATCATGTTTTTAAGCTTGATAAAGCTCTCTATGGGATTAAACAAGCTCCAAGAGCCTGGTATGAAAGGCTTTCAAAGTTCCTACTGAAAAATAATTTCAAAAGAGGAAAAGTAGACAAAACTCTTTTTTTTAAATCTCGAGGAACTGATTTTTCAGTTGTACAGATCTATGTAGATGATATTATATTTGGTGCTACTAACAATGGTTTGTGCAAGTACTTTGCTGAGCTAATGGGTGGTGAATTTGAGATGAGCATGATGGGTGAATTAAATTTCTTCCTTGGACTTCAAATAAAGCAAACAGCTGAAGGAATAATGATTCACCAACAGAAGTATGTCAAGGAACTTCTGAAGAAGTACAACATGGAGAATGCCAAGACAAATCATACACCTATGGGAACAGCAACAAGACTTGATGAGGATCCACAAGGAACAAGTGTGGATCAAACCACTTACAGAGGTATGATTGGTTCATTGCTATATCTAACAGCCAGTAGGCCTGACATTTCTTTTAGTGTTGGATTGTGTGCTAGTATTCAGTCTAATCCTAAAGAATCTCATCTAACGGTTGTTAAGAGAATTTTGAGATACCTCAAAGGAACAGATGACCTGTGTTTGTTCTATCCTAGAAGTGATGACTTTATGCTTAGTGGATTCACAGATGCTGACTATGCAGGTGAACTAGTGAATAGGAAAAGCACCTCAGGTATGGTTCAGTTCCTTGGCTCTTGTCTAGTTTCTTGGGGTTCCAAGAAACAAAATACTGTTGCATTGTCTACTGCAGAGGCTGAGTATGTAGTAGCAGCTGCTTGTTCTCTCAAGTCCTTTGGATCAAACAACAGTTGCGTGACTTTGGTATTAAATTTAATTGCATTACTATCTACTGTGATAACACTAGTGCAATTTGCATATCTAAAGATCCAGTCCATCATTCAAGAGTTAAGCATATTCATATAAGGCATCATTTCCTTAAGGATAATGTTGAAAAGGGTTTAATTAAATTAGATTTCTGCCAAACTGACAATCAAATTGCAGATATATTGACTAAACCCTTGAATAGAGAAAGGCATGAGAAGATGAGAATGGAACTTGGGATGATTAAGTTATACTAAGAAAAATGCATCAAGTTCCCTCAGGTAGGGCTGTACACCGGTCCAAAACCGGACCGGACCTAGATCGGACCTGTTAAGACCAGGACCTGAATCTCTATTCTTTAGGACCGGGGACCGGACCTGAATCAACAGGTCCGGTTCCAGACCAGACCTGAAAAAACAGGTCCGGTCCGGTTTTGGACCTGATTGGACCTGCTTTTTTTTTTTTACTTAAAAAAAATCAATTTGAAAAAATAAACATGTTAACCAAATTCAACTTGTTTATATTGATATTTAATATTAATTTTAGATTCTTCTTCAAAAAAAAAATTAATAATTATAAATTCAACTTAAAAAAAAGGAAGTAATTAGCACTTTTATTTATTATTTATTTTTTTAATACAGAAAAACAACCCATAAATTATTAACCAAAAGTTGCGAAGTCAGAGATTACAAAACAAATTGCTTCATGATGAACTTCCTCATCAATCCACACTCTTAATTCTCCAAAATGCTTGCTGAGGTGAGCAAGGCAGTTAGCACTTAATTAGCAGGCAGCAAGATTGCAGGAACCACCTCAACACAACATCCATAAAACTGTAAGCCCATATGTAGTGACTGCTGGGTCGCCGGAATCACGCGATCTCGTGGTTGCAATTGCTGGAGCCACGCGTTCTGGTGGTTGCGGTCGTTAGAGCCGCACAATCTGGTGGACGTGGTCTATACAATCGTGTGTGGTGGCCGTTGAGTTCGCGTGCGGTGGCTGATGTAGCGTGCAATGGTCGCGCTGGTGGGCTCCTGAGGGGAGCTTACAGTCGTGCAGCGTGAGGGATTGACTGATGTGGGTGTCGGCTGAGGGCTTGAGAGAGTAAAAGAGTGAGGGAGTTAGGGTTAGAAATGATACTGATTCTTGTTTTGAAAAAAAAGCTTTTTTTTAAATTTATTTATAAAAACACAATTTTATCAGGTTTCAGGTCCAGACTTGAAAACCCCGGTTTTAGACCTGATCTGGACCGAGATCGGAATCCTTAAATTTCAAGGACCGGGTCCGGACCTGAATCTACAGGTCCGGGTCAGGTCCGGTCCCAACAGGTCCGGTTCCGGTCGGTTTTCAGGTCCGGTCTTGTTAATGTACACCCCTACCCTCAGGTATGAAACTCAAACTGACGTGCTTAAACTATTGTATACTGTGCACAAGTGTTATATGTTTAATTAAATAGTTAAGACAGGTTGTTAGCAGGAGTAATATTTACTAAGGGCATGTAAATTTGAAATTCATAGAATATGAAAAGTCCAAAATTGGTTGCATGAGCCTTGTTGATTTGTTCTGTGTATCAAGTTGTATTTGCAAGGGTTCTTTACTGATAAAATTCAAGAGATAAAATTTTCGTGTTTATCCAATTTTCAAAATTCCAATTTTTTTTCTAAACACAAAATTCAGATGAATACATCTAATATTCATCATTATCTTTTGTTCAAAAGTAGCCCAAGTGCAATACTCTCATAAAACACGGTTTGCGTTTCCCTAAGCAATAAATAAGTGTGTCAAATCAACTAAATTCACTTCACCTCCCAAACGACACCTCACTTCACCAATTTACCTCCACCATAAAAGATGTCAGCCTCACAAACATTTACACCACACAAAAATCACTCTTTCTCTCATCACTCCGATCAAAATTAGTCTCCAATGTCTACCTCTCCAAAAACTCAAGTTGAAGCCGACTTAAACACAAACCCAATTCCAGATATTACCATGGAAATCCCACCGGAAATTGCCCCCATTGAAGATCAAGAGCCTCCCAAAGTAGATTCGACCACCGAATCCCAGTCTTCTCGAAAAAGGAAGTCCGATGACATGCAAGATGAAGAAGAAAGCGCTCCGGAACTAGGGGTCAATTACCAGGACAAGCCAGCAGCCATGAAAAGGCAAGAGAAAATCAGTGATCACTTTGTGACAGGTTTGGCTATTAATCTTCCTTGGTGTAAGTCTGTTAAGTTGTATGAATTGCTTGATTTAATTGAGGCTCAAAATTGGGTGAATTTGTTGAGTGAATGCTTTAATCGGAGTATGTATGTTGATGCTATGAGGGATTATTGCAAAAGTTTTAAATACACTAAAGGTGTTATTCGTTGTTGTGTGTATGAAAAAGAAATTGAGTTTGATGCGATGTATTTGGCTGAGTTGTTTGATGTTCCTAATACTGGATATGATTTATATTTTAAAATTAATGTGATAAGGAACCCTCTTCCTGATGCGAATATTGATGAAATAGTGGAGTTTCTAGGTGGTGACCCAGAGGAAACCTAAATAAATCACAATGACCTAACCCCTCTTGAAAAAATCCTGTTAAAGTTTGTCTTCAATGATATTATCCCTCGTACCCAAAAGAGAGACAATGCCAACAAGCTTGACTCTGTTCTCATCTACTGCCTAGCCAAAAAGATCAAAATCAACTTTCCCTCTATCATGGTCCAACACCTCTCCCACTGTGTTCCAAAAGGATGGAAGGTGGGATATGGTAACCTACTTACCTATGTCTTTGAAAGCTTTGGCATCTCCTTTGCTGATAAAGAACCCCTGCCCCTCAAAAATACCGAGTACATGCAGCCTGTTTTCCTTGAAAATCATAAGATGAAGGTTGTAGATGGATATTTTGAAGTTGTGCTGGAGGAAAAGGATAAAAGACTAAATAAAGTTGGTGCCATAGCTGAGGGGAAGAAGAGAGAGCTGCTAGGATAATAGAGGGAGTGGTGCAAGACATTCAGGAGGAGGAAGAGGAAAAGGTGGTTGAGGAAGTGACTGAGACAGGGGGAAGGAAGAAAAGGAAGAGCTTGAGGTTGATGAAGAAAAAGGAGCCCTCTGCACCCATTTGCATTGATATCACTGGGGTGCAAGAGGAATTGCAGAAAGTCACAAGCTCTCCTATTTCGGGCAAGCATGCATCTACAGGAACAGGTTTTGCAGCTTTCAGTTCTCTGCCAAAAGTTCCTAGCGAGGATGTGAAGGAGATGAAGGATTTGCTCCTGAAAGTGCTGAAGGAACAAGAGGAGTCAAAGAAGAATATGGCGGAACTGAAGAAGAGCATGCTCATTCTGAGCACTGATGTCAAGAAGCTGGTCTCAAGCACTGAACAAGGGAGACAGTCCATTGTGAAGGACATAGTGTCTCAAATCAGCAAGAAGCTGGAGGATCTTGCTGTTGATGATGACCAGAGCATTGCATCTTAACCTGTCCTTCCTTGCAGCCTCTTTATGTTGATGAAAATTCTATTTTATCTGCTTTTGGGAACAATTTTTAATTTGGTCAGTAATATTTTGGGCACTTTTTAAATTTCTTTTGGTAAACTTGCAAATTTGGTACATTTGGCCGATGTTTTGAATCGGTTTTAGATGATTATAATATAAGTTTCTTTTGCCTATATGCTTTGAGAATGTTTTCTCTCTATGCATGCTTCTTGTCTTAACACTAAATCACTAGATGGTGCTTTGTTATGGTATACTATATGCGTGTATGTTAGTTTTTGATAATGCCAAAAGGGGGAAAGGATGCAAACTATAAAGGAAACTTAATCATTCTATGGTCTC